GAAAATAGCCGAAACGGGTAACAAAGGTTTTACTTAGGGCAGGTGCAGAGAGGCTTTAGCTACCCGTAGGTATGATAGTTAACCTGTGACAATTGCCGATCGCTCGCAATAGAGGGATCAGATACATTGGAACCTGGGTTAAAGAGTTTAATGCGTTCCGGTACCGAGCTCATCATGTGAAACGCTCGTCTTTCGAAAAGTGGCCAACCAAACTGCATCAGTTCACTGATCGGCTGTAGGTGACGCAGGTGGGGGCAGTGCTCAGCGGCGGATATAGGCACGCACACACACACGCACTGACAACTCGTTAACTGAGCGAAAGCTCCTCAAGCGGCACAAATTTTCTGCTAGTAGCTCGCTCGTAACCTGAGATGCTCGTAGATGGGGCTGCTCGTCACCTGAGGCTCCCCTGTACTATCCTGCAGCGCATTGGTAGTCATCTAAAAGGACTGTGGATTGACACAGGAGACGGGTAGCTGTACCCATGCGAACAGTCTAGCCATCCTTGATTACGATCTACTGAGGTGATTTTGAGCAGTATCAAAAACATGCGCTTTTACTCTTTATCATATGGACTGCACAAACGAGATGAACACCGGTCCTGGCGACCGAAAGCAACAGTAGACAGGGTAGCTACGTTTATATTTCGCGCAAACGATTTTGTTCATTTATTGAACCGCGTTTTAAATGCTCCGAAAATCATATCAATATCGTAATATCAATTACATTATAAGTCTAAGGATCAACCGCCTCCCCCTTAGTGTGTGGAGATCGTTTAAAATAATGGGATAAATGCCCCTTTTAATCCTGGTCGATAACATCCTCTCCAACAAGAACAAGTAAGATGTTTCAAAAGTAGAGGGTAATGGCGGAATTTTTAAAAAAGTGGAATTTCATCCATGTACTGTAAGGCCGTTCATTTGGTGGCAGGATTCAAAGTCTAGTTACAAATTCTTCCTTAATAAATTAGAAGTAAAATTTATATATGTGTTTAAAAAAAATTGGATCCCTATCTTATCTAAAATTCCAGTCAAATGACTTTCTTATCTTACAAGATTCTACGCTACCTTTTTCACGGAAGATATTATTCGGCTCCCGAAGTTCGTGCTCATCAGTTAAAAAAGGTGTATATTTCTATATCTGCTTATCTACTTCACTCTGATTCACTGTCTTAAAGGTAATTACGCGTGTACCGTTTGTGGTCATAATGTAGGCCGACGATTGCCTATATGGCCCCACTAAGTATCACTATCGATAGATAGGCTTGTAATGACCCAACTCCATGTACACGCTCAACCATTTGCCTCTCACGACTGATAGCACGTGCGCGCCAGTATTTTTCGGCCCCAATCCGATCTGACCAATCATCTTCAAAGCTGACTAACGCAAGACTTAAGCATGACGACTGCCGTACTCTCACACGGACGCGACCCCGCGTGGGTGGTCTTGCACTCGTTTGACCTCCAGCCTATTCTCTATTACCTCTGTACCGAATACACTATTCATCCCATGTGGTGTCTCGCTTCTTCGCTTCCCACATGGGCCCTATCCTCAAGATCGCAGCGGGTTTTATCTATTTACGTAAGCCACTGTCATAGGTGCCTAATACGGGAACGCTTGCTATCGGAGTAGAGCAGCTTTGAGGACCGAAAGGGACGATGACGCGTTGGTAATGAAAAGTTAATTGCAGGCCCACCGTCAACGCTCACGTGAGCTGTTGTTAGCACTTACTTAGGCCGTATCACATAAAGTACGCCAAGGAATTCGTGCAAAGTCATGACGAAATTGGACTTCGTACTCACGCATATATTTTTCGCGTTATTTTGATCCAATGAGTGAATTAAATCCCGAGAACGACCCTTAGTAAGGGAAACTGCCTTTTTAGTTTAGGTTATTGGCAGTACGACGCATAAATTATGGCGAAAGCATAGGTGGCCCGACATAGGAGATTGCCCTTTGCTATAAGGTAAGACAGGAGTATATTTTACTAATATGCACTATGCTATGGGAAAACCCTAAAATAACTAGGAAAAATTTAAAATGTATCACATCCAGAACCCGAAAATTTAGTCTGAATTTTCTGAAATGCAAGTGATACCAATTTTAAGGAATCATATTTATTTCCAGCAACAAAGAACAAATTCAGTTTTAAAATTATTTTTTGTTAAACTGAATTGTTTTGCCACAGATGCGGCAAAAAAGGTTTGATCACATTTGATTTTATCGCATTAAATAATTAGAGATTAATCAAAACTGGCTATAAATTATGGTGACGGTGAAGGTAAAAACAGATCTCATTAAATTTGAATCATGAATAGATGTATTTTTTCGTATACTATAATTTCCGCTTATACCTAATTTAGAAACAGAACAGACAGAAGATTGATAATTATTGCAACATCTAAGTTGAAATGCGGTGACTCTTTCTTGCATTCGAAAGCCTAGAACAGAGCATGAAGGTGATCCACTATAGCAAAAAATACTCCACTATAAAGAGAAAAGTGAGTTCTTTCATTTCCAGTCGAAATGCATCATTTATCTTCAGGTAAATTAATAAACTTGTCAAAAATCTCGATTTTAATTTTGACATGACCTTGGAAAAAGGTAACATGCACAAATATTCGTCAGCTGTATATGTTATTAAAATGCATTTTAGGAAGATAACCTATTACATAAAGTTTTTTCAAATTAATCTTGGAAATAACAATATAAGACTTCTGTTGCGGAAGTTCGTTTTAGTCATGGGCGTAGAAACCGTACGACCCGGAGAGCACATCGAATCCACCGCCCTCATAACCTGATTTTAATAAATCCTGTTTATTCTTCTCCTTCTTCTCACTCTTCTGTTTCTTCTTCTTCTTCTTCCACTGCAACGAGCGGTGTTCCATTTGCATGACGCAAAACGTGGGCGTAACATGTGATTTTATTTTATTATTTCGTACTCCTCGCAATGAGGTAGAGTGATGGCGTGATTTAAAGTTAAAAAAATTCAATTTCGCAAGCGTATACTGTTTCCTCGAGAAAATTTTAAGCGCAGCCCATGAATGCTTACCCATTCGCAAATCTTCTGCTCGAAAGGCGGGCTCACATCCTGTTTCATTCCTCAGCATACCCTCAGCAATGAGCTTAAGGCCAGCCCGGGAGAGAACGTAACCCGCGCCACCGGATGTGTATCCCTGAGGGACATGTTTCTACAAATAAATTTTTATATTTTTTTAAAGGAAAGTCTTGGGTGAAGGAGATGGAGAAAGGCCGAGAACTGATTGAAGCCTGGGCCTCCGATGACAACTCAGCAAACCGAGGTATGGAGCTAGCGCCCACATACATCACCCTGCGCAAGCATATCCAGATTCGCGGCACTGGTGGCCAATTGGTCTTCCAATCCCACCGACCCCTATGCTTGTTGATTGGACCCTGTCCCCAATAAATGTTGCTTGCTTTTCGTTGACAATTTTATCTATGACGCTTGACTCCCACAAGAGTTCAAAAGGTCGGACTAATAAAACCATGATTCCGGTGATCGACACTGATTCTTTTTCTTCTTCTTCTCGATAAAGAGGAGGAAGTTTCAGGCGTTATATTTGTTGATGAACAGTAAAATAGGGTTTCTATCTGCTATCGCTCTCTGAATAGGTCTCTGATGACGAATCCGCGACGGATATCGAAAGATCAGGCGAATAAAAATATTGTCCCAGCGATCGATTCCTCTTTTTCTCGAACACTAAACTGCAGAAATTCAAACAGTTTATATCAGAAAGGTTACTTTTCTTCCGATTATGTCGTTATGAGCTCGTCTACGACGGCTTAACGACCGCGGGGTAATGCAGCCGCGGCCCGACTCCCAGGTTCGAGTTGCCTCTTCACGTAGACAAC